AAGGGTTCCACTTCATAGAACCCTTGTATCAGTGAAAGCCTTCCCCTCTCCCCCCCCATTGGTTTATACAGGGAAAAGGTGCCCAGGGCTTTATTATGTCAATATTAACACCTTGAATTGAGCCTACTAACAAAGCGGTGGCCAACGCAGATCCTGCAAAACATATGTAATATGCACAGGTGTGATGGAAAAGTTTGTTTTGCTGGGCAGGTTGGGTCACCAAGTGTTTTCTTTTTCTTTTCCCTGCCAGTAAACGGTTAACGAATGGCAGCTTTTGATTGGCCAGGGTTCCAGGAGAGGGAGTTGAAAAAGAGAGGATTTGGAGAGACAGGTTTCAGGTTGTGAGATAGGGAGTGAGAGGAGAGAGAGTTGGTTCTGGGTAGAAACATCCACTTTGAGGAATATATCAAAAGCTACAGAAAGGAGTCTCTGAGCTTAGTGTGAAGGACAGTGTGTGGTGTCCTGTGAGAGTAATAGGCCAGGAATGAACTGGGAGGCTGAGGCCGAGCCAGGAGAAATAGAAGCTGGAAAGATACAGTCTACTTAGGTCTTATTCCAGTCAGGAGGGGAGAGATTCTGCTACAAAAAGAGAAGACTCCCAAACCAGCTAAGAAGGGTGTGGTGATCCCTTGGGCCTGTTACTTGGAGTAGCGTTGTCAAAGGGGTGTGTAACTGACAGGAAGTACCACCTTGTTTAAGAACCAAAGTATTAAGCGACAACAGCTGTGCAACTGAGAAAGAACTGAAGTGAAAGAACTGGAAATAAGCTGAGCATTTACCCTTTAGTCTATAAAAACAAAACAAACCTGTAACATCTACCTGAAGCGAAGTAACTGAACACAAGCAACTGAAGTTTAAAAGAAGTTGCGCTTGATTAGAAGTCCTTAACATCAGTTAGATTTAGTATCAATATTATTAGGTGAACAGTTACCTGAAATAACATAACCTGAAGTATCCTTTGTTTTACCCGCTTTGTGTCATAAACTTCCTTTGTTTAATAAAATCTTTCTTGTTTGTTTGATCAAATCCTGCCTGAGACTCCAAATTATGAAGTTTTCCCTCACACAAGTCCCCCACTAGATAATCTGAGGTAATTTGTAGAAATTTGTGTAACTGGTGTACTGTGAGGTGGTTGCACTATGTTTAAGTGAGGGCCGGCCCAATGGTGCCAGAGTGAAAAAGTGCCATTGCACCATCACAACAGATGCATCAGTCAGCCCTCTGGAGGTTGAGTTCTGCTCTTGCTATAGTTTCTGGATTGACAGAGATTACATTACAGTACTCTTAGCATGAGCCACCAAGGCAAGTCCATCCCAGTCCAGGAACAGATGTAAGTGGTGTATCAGCCAGAGTTGGAAATAGGCACCCCTTGCTATGACACACACACGTGTGTGTGTGTGTGTGTGTGTGAGAGAGAGAGAGAGAGAGAGATCATCAAAGGCACACCATTCATTTAATTCCTGTATACAAGAACCATATATCAACCTATCGTGCCAGGTTTCAGCCTAAGTTATTGGACCTCATTCAACCCCTGCCCCCAGGGAGTGGTTCAGCATAAAACAGCTTCATCTGGTTCTAATGGCATGGAGAAATAGACCTGGGTATCATCTGCATATTGGTGGCAATGAGCCCCAGATCTCTGGATGACTGCTCTTGGCAGCTTCATACTGATGTTAAATAGCATGTGGGACAAGATTAAATCTTGCAGGATGCCACAGCATAACTGGATGGCAGCACTATTAATGACACTCCCTCCCCCATGGACCAAAAGGATGTCTCATGACAACCAGAAGTTGTGCTTTAAGTGTAGTGTGCCCAACTCTATGGAACTTCCTCCATTAGAAATCAGGCAGCACTGTCCTTGCTAAGTTTCAGATGTCAGGTTGTTTGTATTATTAAAGTTGTTTTAATGGTTCTGTTTCTTGATATTTTAATCTATGATATCAGTTTTGTGTATTGTATATATTTTTTGAAAATGTCTTTGAGACATATAGTGAGAAGCAGTGCATAAAGCCCTTAAATAAATCAAATGCTGCAGTTTGGAATTCGCTGTGCCATTCTCTGGAAACATCCCTGCAGCTTGGAGCAAAACCACCATGATGTCATGGCTCTGATTCCTAACTCACAGATCCTCTTGAGAATACAATGGTCAATAGTATCGAAAGGTGCTAAGAGATAACAAGAAGGAATATGGTCATTTTAGGAATATGGTCCTATGGGAGAGGGAGATTTCTGAGAGTGGGAGAGGTTCTACTCTTGCATTTCTTCCCAGCATTCCTTAATTCCTAATTGGTGCCATGGGTTAAGTCTGACTGTCTACCCAGGACGGGGGATGGGGTGATGCAGAATTAGGTCACCCTGTCTCATGACATAGCATTCTTGCTGCTGTCTGTTCCCCATGGCATTCCTAGTCAGCCTTTGAATCATAGTCCCAAAGAAAAATTATGATACTTCTATCCGTCTGTGCACTCAGCATACTCTCAGTCTAAATGCAAAAATAAATGTTGGAGTCCCTGCAGATTAATTTCAGCAGTGAATATCTGTATAAACTGCTGCATAATTTATCTGACATATAATTTTCAGGTGTAATTTTAACTGATCTCTCGATCCCTTAAGGTGGTGAAATATCATTCAGTTCCCACCACAAAGCATGGTTTGTTTAAGGAGCCTGCACTTCCACCTCAAGACAGCTGACCTATTCAAATTTGGAATCAAATAAGTTTCATGGGCTTGTAGGATTAGAGGTAAAGGTAGAACTGTTACAAGGGATCAATTAATGCTTTTCCATGGGAGCAGGAACACACAGACACCCCAGGCAATCCCAGTACCGGGGCGACAGCAGAATTACTATACCAAGACTGTTTATTCCCTTCCCTCTGTGTGATACAATTTTACTACACTAGTCAGATAGGTGATGTATAAATAATAAAATGGTGGTGGTGGTGATGATGATGATGATTTGGCTTACGTGACCAATCTCAAGGTGGTCTCTTGCATGACAATGCTGCTTTTCATTTGTGTTGTGAAGAGCGACCCCATTTGACCAGTGGGACCGCATGGGGAGAATAAAGAGCATGGAGTCAAAAGCATGCTTTGAAAAGGGCCTAGGGTGGAAAAGAAGTTCACAAGTTATAGTGCAAAAATTAATTAGGGATTGTGAGCCTCATAAATAAAGGGAATTGACTTACACAGAGTGCACCTCCCTTGCCAGTGTGGGATCTCTGTATTTAATAAGATAATTCTTAGTAATATTGATTGATGATTAATAAATCTTGATTATATATTGACATTTCTTGACTTTATTTCATTTACATTACTAAAAATTCAGGTTTGACAACTTTGTACTCTGGCATTTAGGTAACCCTGACCTAGAGGCTCTCATTGATAATCTAAATTCAGCCTTCATAGTATGAGTGCAATAACTTAATTGATTTAATCAATTAAAATTGCTGACTGAAGGATGGAAAGTGGGAAGGTGAATGCCATGAGCAAAGAAGTGTGGTTGCGGAGCAGTGTTTCTCAGACAGTGGGCCAGGATGCACCAGTGGGCTTTAGGCAATGTTCAAGTGGGCTTCAGTGCCATAGCCTGCCCAGTGCCTCTTCACTTGTCTTCCCTGCCCCCAAGTCATGACATAGCCTTCAGCTGATACCAGCGCCAGCTGGAGCAATGGTGGCAGGGAGAAGAGTTCAATGAAGAAAGAAAAGGGAAAGGAAGTTCTCTTCCTCTGAGGAGAAATTAGGAAGAAATTCCTCTGAAGAGAAATTAGGAAGGAAGCTAAAATGTTAATATTCACCATGAATGTTAATTTAAAAAAAAAATAGTACAGCAAACAGGAAATAGAAATGAAAGGGATAAGGAAGGAAAGGTGTTGTAGGAGGAAGAAGTGAATATAAAAAACCAGAGAGGAGGGATGAAAGATACTGTTAGCAGTTGGAGGAGAGTAAGGTTCAAGTTGAATGTAAAAGGTGAATGGGAGAATAAATTACAGGAGATGGGAGGCATGTGGGGGTAGGAAGGGAAAAAGAAAAAAGAAAAAGCAACCTTCATCAGATCAGCAAATTCTGCTTAAAATGGGGACACTGATTTGCAATACCTCCATAGCAAATTTCTGTACTTAGCTTGAGGAAGGTTAATCAATGGAACTGCTCACCGCAAGGAAAACACAGTGGTGAAGAATTTACACGTTTCCAAAGATGGATGACATATTAGTAGAAAGTGATGTCCATTATTGCCAGTTGATTGTCAAACTTGCCCACTATTTTGTAACTGCTTCTGCTCCTGCACCACCATTTTGTCACTGGCTGAACTCAGTAATTTTCAGCCATCTGAAGTGGGCCCTGGGGCTACAAGGTTTGAGAACTCCTGCTCTGGAGCTGAAAGACCTGAAATTCCACATATATGAGGCACAGATGGATTCAGGTTGAGAGGAAAAGGGAGTGGCAAAGATTACGAACATTTTCCTCCAGTAACCAGAAACTACCTTTCTACTACAGTGATTGCTGTAATACTAGCATAACGTCATTGTGATGCTGAGCAAGTATAGCAGTTTCTAATTCTTGACATTTCAGCTATATAAAGACAGGTTCTTAGTGGTTTAACAGATTTTTACAAGTGACTTGCCTTTTATCAGTACAAGCAAAATTTGTGCAGAGGTGAGAATAAACGTTTTGAGTTTTTCTATTTTAAGAGTGGTCCTAATGTCTTACATTTTACATTTGGATCCATGTGCCATGTATTCAACAGTATAGTATTGGAGAAAGTAATGGGACAAATTTCTACTATGAAACATGTGTGCCAAAAATACAAAATGAAGAATCCCATAAATTTTAAGCAGCCTTTAAGTAATTTGTATTGTCAATACATTCCCACCCCTGATATTGCCTCAGAAGAAGACGAAACTTGATTGAAAATGTGGTTTTGTCATGTGCATAGCATTAAATTTTAAAACTGTAGCTTTATAGACTTGGTTTTGCTCAAAGTATTTTCTGTCCTCTTTCAGTTTTGGCAAACGTTCTGCAGGAAGCTTCAGACGTGGCTGTGAATGCATTGTTCTAGAGCCATCTGAAATGATTGTGGTAAGCATAACTAGATGAATGTCTGTGTTAAGGAAATGTACAATTATGTATTTGAGAAGTGTATCATTTGCCATCTTTAAAACGAGTTAGTTGCTTGGCTTTTAAAATAGGTTAATTTAAGGAAGACCATGGAAATAAAGTTATATGTCCCTTCAAACTCTGCAGTCTATGATTCTAGAACTCCTGTCTCCTGCATCCACCTGCAACCCTTGAAAAACTTGTCTAGAAAGGGTGTGTGTGTCCTGAACTATATAGAACGGTGCTGGACAGCTCTCTGGATCCCATCCCATGTTTCTCAGGAGGAGCCCCCACCCCCAATTGTCTGAACAAGTTTCTTTAGGCACAAGTGGCTGCAGAGGGAATGAGGGTATGGGAAACTTTCTTCCCGTGAACTTTCTTAAGTTAACTTGCCTTAGAATCCAAGTCATTATGTGCACAATAGGTATGCATGCAGGATAACTATATTTTATCTGTTACACAGATTAAAATTCAGTGTTGAATAAGGAATCCTAGTTTTGTAGGAATTTTTAAAGATTTCTTTAAGATAGGCTGGATTTAGCAACACACCTGGAGATACTGCCAGAATATCTATTTTAGTGGGCAGCAGAGCGAATCAATTCATTTTTGTGCAAAGAAACTTTCTTACATATGCCTTCTTAGCACACAATTACTAGCAGATTCATAAAGTGACCTTTTAGGAAGCTCTACAACCTACTTTTCAGGTTGGTCTGGTCTGACCATTCAGTTTCCTTCAAGACCTCCCGTTTTTTCTCTCTCCCCCCCCCCCCCCGCCCTACATTTCAGGAATTGCAAAATCCATTACATAATTGTTTTGCACATTATTGTTTTTGGTGGTTTTTTGCTTTTGTTTTGTAAAGGGAAATGTTTTGGGTTGGACTAGATCAGTGTTTCCCAACCGGTGTTCCGCGGCACACTACTGTGCTGCGAGACGTTGCCTGGTGTGCCGTTGGAGGGAGGCGGGCGAGTCGCACGGCGCCTCGGCGTCGGGCGGCAGCGAGCCCAGGAAGCGGCCCAGCCGGCCGGGGTCGCCCGCCTGCAGCAGCGCCTCGCACCCGCACGAGACCTGCTCCGCCGAGAAGCGGGCGAGCGCGGAGGATCGGGCGCGGCGGAGGCCAGCCCCGCGCTTGGAGAGGACGCAGCAGCCATCGCCAAACCCAATCCTCCTCCTCCTGCTCCGCCGCCGTCCTCTGGCTCTCGGCTGGGAGGAGCCTGCGGCGACGGGGCGGGCGCCGAAGTTGGCAGAAGTTGGCGCGCCTCCTCGGCAGCGCCTTCGTCCTCCTCCTCCTGCCTCTGCTCTCCTCCGGTGGCGGGGCGCGCCGCCCTCCCCGGCCGGGGGGCTCGGCGGGGCCCGCGGGGAAGGAGGCCATGTTCGCGGCGCGCGGGATCGCGGCCCCCCTCGCCCGCCTCCGGCCCGCTCCCCTCCCCCTGCGCGCTGCCCTAGCCGTGCGGGTCTCCTCCCCCTGCGCCGCCGTCCCCTTTCCACATCCTAGGAGCCGCGGTCCGCCTACCGCCCCCGGGCCGCGGCGCGGCTCCCAGCCCGGGCTGGCCTCCGCCTCCTGGGACGCGCGCCCACCCCCGCGGCCCCCCAAACTTCGGAGCAACTCTCCAGACGCTTCTCCCCCGCCTCGGTCTCCCTCCTTTCCACTTCTCTTCCCCCCTTCCTTCCCTCTTTCTTTCTCTTTCTCTCCCACCCGCCTTTCCTTCTATTAACTTTCCTTTCCCCTCCCTTCGTCCTTCCTACTTTTACTCCTGGGCTCCTCCCCCCTTTGCGCAGCCACAAATCAATCTCTCTCTCTTTTCCCCCCTCTCTCTCTTCTTTGCTCAGACGCAAAAAAGCGCCGCTTTTTGGAAATCCGGACTGCTGTCCCCGCTGAAACGATACTTTAAAAAAGGAAGAACCCACTGGCTCTTATTTCTGTTTAAAGCAGTAGATCCCGAACTCTTTTGGCCTACTGCCCCCTTGGTTCCACATCCCCCAGTGTCCCCTATGCTTACTCTATAGAAAGCATTACAGGGGTTAACGCGGCTCGCTAAGGAAGATATTAATAGAATTCTGCATTTGGGGGGAGACCCTAACAGTCATCTACCATTACCTTCTATGCTGTTACTATTTTTTTATTTTATTTTTTACATAAGTAAAAGGTGACCTTTCCCCATCTGGCATGGTGGTGTGCCTCGAGATTTTTTTCATGAAACAAGTGTGCCTTTGCCCAAAAAAGGTTGGGAAACACTGGAGTAGATGACCCTCATGGCACCTTCCAACTATACAAATTCTAAGTAAAAATTCTTGTCACTACGTATAGGGAACATTTACATTTTTAAATACTTCCTTTTGGTGACTGATTTCTGCTCTCCCTGCTATAATTGGATTAATCACCATATGAAACAAGGGCATTACCCCTCTTCTGTATTTCAAGCAGTGGGTGTAGAGCCTCACAATACAGTATTGCAGCTAATACTACCTCACACAATACTTGCAGTAGCATTCAGAACTGGCACAGAATTCTTTATAAAATAGTTGTTGCATGCTTTGTCATAGCTCAGAGCCTTATCAAATACAGTGTTACCTTAGCAGGTAGCTGAGCATCCAGATTTCTACCATCTCCAAAATAGAAACGGCTGTGTGCAAGATGCAAAATACAATACTTGTTGTAGGTGTGTATCGGAAGATTTTTTTGTGGGGGTTGACATTATTATAGTATACCCATGTGCAGTTTTCCTTCAAATCTTTCTTTTTTCTTTTTAAAATTTTGCTTGCTTTAGAGGAAATAGGATGCTGTGTTTTAGAAGAGCTGGCTCCCACAGGATGGGAGGGGTAGCTCCCCAATGGCTTATTGAGATCAGCCGGAAAGCTTCAAGTTTGCTTCCTTCAGAAATATTCTTTTTTTTCTCCCCAGTAAGAAACTAGCTTTCTGTGTGAGAGAGTAAAAAACAGACGCTTCTAAATACATAGGTGTGCACACGCACAGTAGGTCAGTTGTAGAAATTATGAATGTCAGCTGAATAATTGTCTTAAGAATTATGTCTGCTCATTCTCAGTATGTAGGAATAGCTTTTACTGTGGAAAATGCAGAAATTTTTATAACTACTTACTGCTGATTTCTGTGAGAGTACCATTTTGTGTGTTCTATCTCAAACTGAAATGAATGCCCGTGCTTTCTAATTGTAGCAGAGAAGAGGCCATCCATAACCTTATTTATTTTTATCATATTACAAAATGTATTTTTTTGCTATTAAATATGCCTTTTTATCAGGTGGATTATATGGATGAAAATGAAGAATATTTCCAGCGACAAGCATCTCATAGACAATCTCGACGGAGATTTAGGAAAATCAATCAAAAAGGAGAAAGACAAACAATTATTGACACTGTGGATGCTTATCCTGTAGGGAAACCACCGTTACCTAGAGGTTATCACACGGTAAGCCATCCAAATTATTTTGATAGTGTAACAAATTTGAATATTAGCAGTTGCCAAATGCTCATTCTCATTTTGTGAAAGATTCACATGGCCACAATTTGCCTTTCTCAAAATTTCATGTGTAGGAGATTCTTTAGCAGCTATAAAGAAGAAACTGAACTTGTAGTTAAGTGTATGTCATTGGAATAGTTTAGAAATACTGCTTTTGGAGCAGATCAGCTCCAAAATGCCAGCTTAAAACACTTTATTCAAATTTGATCTCTGTAATAGATAATTCTGCTGACTTTATTTAGTTTAAAAGACATCAATAAACCAATCACTGAAACATTAAGTTCTGTGAATAGCCACTTCTTCTTGAAGCACTATCATCTATTTAGGCCATTATTTTGCTTTATCTCTTCTCAGCATGAGAAGTAGACCAGAGCGGGTTGTTTATACTGATGTGACTAATATTAAATTGTTCTAACAAATTTACACCATGCCTTTATCATCTGAGAGAGCATTATGTCTATATTGCTTTAGCCTTCAAATTATAATTATTCTGCATTCTCAGACTGATGGAGAAAAGTCTTCACAGTTCATCACTGTAGCGTAGAATTACAAAATTGCGAACACTGATGTTCAAAATGGAAGAAACCCATATTTGTGTTCTATGTGCCTAAGTGCTTAAGATGGGTGCTATATTAAAACATATATTATCATCATCATCATCAAGTATTGTTTCTTACTAATTCACAGTATCAGCTGCACATTGCTGGAACTAATTTGGCACCAATGCTATTCATATTAGCACTTTCCATTATGCAAACAGTATTCTAGTACATAATTGTATGGGGAATTACGACATTTACACATACCTATAAAATTATAAATGTCTTGGGACCAGAATGTCCTCCTTGGGACTGCATCCTTCTGCATGAAGATGCCTATCAGTCATCATCTGAAGCCCTGTTCTGTTCTGCCACCAAGGGTAATGGTAGTGTGAGATTGGGCCTTTCCTTATCTGTGTAGCTTTCTCCTGATAGAGGCTTGACTGGCCGCATCATAAATGGTTTTTATGTGGCAGTCAATACATTTTTATTTCATCAGGCTTTTAATGAGTTTCAACTCATAAGTTATATTTGTTTCTTACTTTGTTTTTATTGTAGTTTTGTTGCTTTCACTTTTTTGTAATAGTAAGAATTTGTTTTGTTAATCTGAATTGCCTTGAGGAGCAGTGCCACCATATTTCTATAAATAATAATACTCAGTATTGTTGTGAGGCAACAAAAAACCCTCACAATCACGTATATTGATGCTGTGTTGCATATTTAACAAGTATTTTAATAGTTCTTTTCTCAAAGCTGCAGAGAGGTATACAATCAAATAAAACAAACATTTAAAACTACTATAAGCACCTCAAAAAATATAGTTTCACTCGAAGACTTGACAAACCAGAAACATTTCACAATGTTATGAAAAGGGAACCAGCATCTCCCTATATATTGCTAGTTCACATGATTTATCTTCACATAATTGTATTCCTGAGCTGATATGGAATACAGTTCTTCATGCAGGGAATAAAAGTCTCCCAAAATGACCATGTGAGCTATTCTTTAGTGTTTGTGATTAACTCTGTAGGAACTCAGAGTTCCTCACAATATAAAGCCTCAGGAGTACATAGCCATTTGAGATTCTTCATGTGCTCTCTTGGATTTTAAAGTACTCAGGATTTCTCACTGTTTCCTTTCCTAAAAATTAGGAGTTAATTAAAATTTAATTAAATTAGAAATTTAATTAAGAATTTAAAAATTCTTGTCAATTTCCATCTACAATTCCACCTGCAACTGTTAGCACCTAAAGGTTTAACTATGTCTCTTGTTAATTGTCCAAGTTTTTTCTTAGATGTCTTGTGAGATTCTTCAATACTTATTGTTTTGCTTGTATGACAGAAGGCTTGATTTTTCAGGTTTTGATGTAACCCCAGCTTTCATTGTAATTTTATTATGAACAATTTACTGAAATCTAATAAGTTGATTTGTGGTGTACTAATATGGCATACTTCTTGATCACTTTTATGAATGACTAAAAGGAAAATGTTAATTTATGATCATATTTCCCATTACTCAAAGTTAATCAGTTTGTTTGTGGGAAGATGTGCCTCTCCAAACATATGGTAGGAACATGCAAAGAACCTCATTTTAGATGTGGTTTTCTCATAAGTACCCACAGAGAGTTTAGAGATGCAAGTCTTCCCTTTTGTGCTATACATATCAAGGCAGGAAAACATGGCTGCCAAATAAAATATGAATTTCTTTACAGTGTTCTAGTTTCTTTTAGGGTTATAATATGTAGACATACTGATTGAGATTGTATGTGTTCAGCTGACTGTGTTTCAAAGACTAGTGTACATAATGACAGAGAAGTGACTATATGTTATGTTTTAAAGGAAAGTGCTTGACAAATACTAGCAATGCTGCTATTATACTGTTGTATATTAAGTGGCCATATGGGTCAGGGAGAGTATCTACACCAAACTCATAAGTCCATTTAAGAACCTTCCTTACATAATAGCATTAGTTTCATAATAGTACTATATGTTTTGAGCATCTCTGATAATGTTCATCTTTTCCTTTCCTCCTATATGGCATTCATTTCATTTTGGCTCACAGGAATGCACTAAACAGCAGGTATTGTAACTTATGTGTATGGTCCTCTAACCCTTTACAACCCCCCCCCCCCACTTTGGAGTGTAACTAATGTCTTAATACTAGTTTGCTGTTGCTAAATTTGTGCTGCATCCATTCTGTTACACTATATGATACACAGTTTACCTTCAGTTAAAATCACACAAACTGAATGTAGATAGAGCCTAGTGACATCACCATTACTTGCATTTCAGTTTTTACCTTAAAAAAATTATAATTCATTGCCTGTGGTGGTGTATTTTGTTGTTAGAATTCGTCATGTGGTATCAATATATGACATACAGAAATGATAAAGTACTCACATTGAACAGAACATTCTCCATTTATGTCCTCATTTAATATCCATTACCCAACCAGTGTCTCTATCTTACTCTTTAGCTGTTGCATTTTGAAGCAGAAGTTTGTAGATAATGGCTCTGATACAAGCTGAATATTTGTAGGTCGTACTGTTATAAAACAGATTATTTTGATTCTGCTCTATATTAGTTGCACCTAAAGATACTATAGAAACCACACGTTCCTAAAATATAGAAGGTGTTGAAACAGAAAGTGGAATGGAAGCAGGAGGGGAGGGACTTACGGAATTACTTTAATTAATTGTGGCAGTATTTTCACTTGTTTAAAATTTAAACAGTGTGATATTTTGTTATGAACTAGCTAGTAAGAGTTAATTTTATGTCACAGAATTATGATTTTTAGACTATTGTAAGCAAGCAGTGAAAAATATGCATAAAACATATAATTATTATGGTTATATTATCCTTCCAGTGCTTTATCTTGCATACAAATTTAAGGTAGTAATAGCATAATCACTATAGCATAACTGTTTTTATTTTAAATTGCAATCATGGTGTGTTTGTGTGAAATTATGACTGTAGTGGCCTCTGAGAATGCCAAATCCACAACATCAGAAGGCATCTTACTGGAACGCTGGTTGATAAAAGGATACTGAATATAATATGTCTCTGTGTGTAATATATGTAGATGCTTTGATGTTTTCAACTTAACATAAATAGAAAAGCTGTCCCTGGCAGGAGAGCACAAGGTTCACTTTGGAGCTTCCTCAAACCCACTCTTCTCTGCCTCACTTCTCCTTTCATGAATGTTGACACTTTTACTACCTGAATTTTTACTGTTTATGAACATTCTATACTATCACAGCAGTTGTCCATCACTATTTTAACCCCATTTGCACACGTGGCAGTTAATCCAACACAGTTATGTAAGCATTAGGGGGTATGCATAGACTGCAACAGGGGTGGAAACCTCCCCTAACCCTCACAGGCCATATTTCACAGTTGTCAATGATGTCAGGTGATGCGCCTCTTAGAAGGTGAACTTGCACCTTCAAAGAGGGTTGCTACAGGAGCAAGAAATGATTTGTATTGAAACCACTGCTAAAATGGAGTTGCCCACTGCCCCCTTTCACTTTCGCAGAAGTTTCAGTGCAAACCACTTTCTGCTCCTGGGCCAAGATGTGCTTCCACCATTCATCAGCTGATGGTTGGTAGAAGCGTGCCATGCTCCAGCTAAATAACAGGAGCTCACTTTAAGCTCCTAGTTGTTCCTTTGATACCATGTCAGTGTCTGCATGGTTTGTCAATAACAGCCTTGTGGGTCAAATAAGGGCCACAATATTTTTAAACTAATCCAGCTCCAAATTCTGGGTCATAGAATCATATAATTGTAGAGTTGGAAGGAATCGCCAGGGCCGTCTAGTGCAGCCCCCTGCAATGCAGGAATCTCACTAGATTATACATGACAGGTAGCTCTATCCAACCTCTGCTTAAAAACATCCAAGGAAGGAGAGCCCACCACTTGTGGTGGGAGTCTGTTTCACCATGGAACAGCTCTTACTGTCAGAAGGTTATTCCTGATGGTTAGTTAGAATCTCCTTTCTTATAGCTTGAATCTGTTGGTTCAGGTCCTAGCCTATGGAGCAGGAAAAAATAAGCTTATTGTTGTGACAGCCCTTTAGATGTTTGAAGATGGCTCTCATGTCTCCTCTCAGTCCCTTCTTTACCAGGCGAAACATACCCAACTCCCTCAACTGTTCCTCGTAGGGCTTGGTTTGTATTTGTAAAAGATATGTGTAAGGTGAATTATTTTTTTACTAGTAAGATAGATAATACATCAGAGACCACTGCATCTTTTTATGTACTGTTCAGGAAAGGTGAAGATCAATATATAAGCTTGACTTCACACCATTAATACAATTCTGTAAATAAAAAAATATTAAGAGTAGTAGTTAAATACTGTGTTACAGTCGTACCTTAGTTGTCGAATGGAATCCGTTCGACTTCCGAAAATGTTTGACAACCAAGGCGCGGTTTCCGATTGGCTTCAGGAGCTTCCTTCACTCAATCGGAAGCCGCAGAGGCTGCTCCGGTCGTTCGGCTTCCAAAGAACGTTTGCAAACCGGAAAACTCACTTCCGGGTTTGTGGCATTTGGGAGCCAAAACATTTGAGTTGCAAGGCGTTTGGGATCCAAGGTACGACTGTACTATGTTTGCAATCTATAGCTGTATATCTAAAGTTAGTGGTTTAATACTTAATAGTAGCTTAACACTATTAATTTCATTGGTTTGTCATAGGCTGCACTTTTTAATACTTTCAGTTGTAATATTTCATCCTAACATCTGAAATCCTATAGAGATTAGCAGCATCTGAGGGTAGAAATCAAAAGTAGTTTTAGTACTAGACAAAATAACCAGGTACTAAGTATTCCTAAAGTATAATGATTTAAGAACATTTAGGGCTTTGAATTTTTTGATGTATGTCAGGATGGATGTATTTATTAGCTGTAGTGGCATATTTAACTTGGTTTTGCTTACGTATATCCTAAATTTATATTCTCACAAGGTGCTTGAGTGACTATTCTTAACTCATAGCCAGTACTGTTTATTTATTTTTTTGTCATATCAATGTGGCAAACGTATGGATAACAACCTGAGATACTGTTACAGTTTCTGTTGCCATTGTGTGTGTGTGTGTGTGTGTGTGTGTGTGTGTGTGTGTGTGTGTCTGTGTCTGTGTGTCTGTGTGTGTGCGCGCACACACACAGTTGAAAGAAGTGCACAGCAGTTCAAGGTACTGTGTGGTCTGTTTACCTAAGTTTCAGCTTCTGTCTGAGGATACCTTTCTGTCTCTATACATTACATCATCTTTGCTGCAAACGTGTGTGTCCACTGGGATTTGCTCTTCTTCCATTCCCCTTGGAAGAAGAGCTTGTATTGATGCCATAATTGGACCCATCTTTTGGTTGCTTTGGAAATTCACTGTAATAAGGGTGTTGTGTATCAAGCCATGCTGCATTTTAGGCAATTTAGGTGTCAGTAATATGCCTGCCAGTCTGGGTCCTGTTTCCAATTTGTGAAAATTGACAGTGCTGGGTTGCCTGCCCTGTAAGCTTATAAATCTGTTAAGAGAGTTACTGAGATATTCTTCAATAAGCAGTTTTTGTATCAGGTGGCATTTATTTTTTCTGAATTACTGAAATGTGGAGTTGTGTCACATTAAATGCTAGTGTTAAATGTATGCTTATTTGTTAAGAGAAGATTGGGCAACCTTCCTTGAGAGAAATCCATTTAATAATAGAAAATTGAAAACTGTACATAAATTCAGTAGAAAATTGAATGACAGACTATTGTTAAAAACTTGGAAATACATTGAATACTAAAACTTGTATTCACCACTGGTTTGCTACTAACTTTGCAATATTTGAATATTGTATATACATTATGCTTGGGCATCTTGCATCCTTTTGTAGTTCTAGAGCAGGAATAGAGATATTGGTATTAGTTTCATGTTGATGAATAAAAATATAATCCATAGTATTCAGTCAAATTCATGCATCAAAATTTGTTGTTGAGCTGCCATTTTTAATGAGTGGGGGCACTAGTCTGCTATGACTTGTGCAGAGGTAACCAGTCAGTATGCAGTAAATAAATTTAATCTGATCACACTTAGAAATAGGGACCTAGAGATGAAATGTCTGTTAATATATGCAACTCCTGACTCTCAGCTCATTCCTGGGAATTAAAGTGCTGGTTTCAACCTGACAAGCCCTAACTGGCTTAGGGCAGGTTTCCTGGAAGATTGCCTCCTGCATAGCCTACCCAAACCTTAAGCCTTGCTCTGGTTGCATGACATCTGATTACTGGCGGATGTCTACCAGGGAAAGGGCTTTCTTGGCCATGGTGCTGTAGCTATGACATTAAAGCATTTTCCTGTCTTTTTGGATTCTTTTCCTAAAAAGTATAATGGGGGGGGCACCCATGCCATACAAGCTTCCCCTTCTCTGTGGCCTGAACTTTTGGGCTGTATGGGAGCTGCAGGGGGTAGGGGAGGAGAGGAAGGGTAAGTCTTGTCTCACCATTGGAAGCCTGGTCCACTAGTGGGTGGCCACCATTGGATGTCATTCTCTATTTATAAATGTTTTGTTTGTTAGATACCCAATGGATATTTATTAAGGGTGGCTAACTAACTAATCAATCAATCAATCAATCAATCAGTCAGTCAGGCAGTCAGTCCTTGACTGTTCAAACTCCAAGTATCCTTAAACTTATGATTGTTATAAAAACAACAGCAAAACTCATTATTCTGATTAAAGCTGCGGACTGCTTTCTTTAGATTGATCACATCAGTGTCGATGACTATGATTATAAGGAGACTTGACTTAAACATGTCTGAAATAATTAGCTTAACTGGGACCATAGTTTTGCCACTGCAGAACCCAAGTCCAAGCAGCTGGCCAGCAGCATGTCTGAGAACTGAGGGAGCTTCAGCACTGAAAATGAGGGATGTTATGAGTACCTGTTGGAGCCTGACTTTGATCGAAATCTAGGGAGTTTGGAAGACTTAAGGCTAAATGGAATGTAAACCTTCAGATACCTTGACTGAACTCTTGCACCATCTGCTACTCTCTTGCCACTCCCAGGTGCCCAAGCATACTCCCTTCCCTTAGTCCTGTGGTGTCTTAG